CAATATAATATATTAAATAAACAGTCTCTCACGTCTCATTAGCAACCCGCTTTCGTCGTTCTCTCAGAAACCCCATCTGATAGCTCTCGAACCCTTTTCTTCATTCTCTCGGAAACACCATCTGGGAGAAGATGGCGCCGCCGCCACCAGCAGCAGCAGCAGGAGGAGGTACAGCAGCGCAGCCACAGAGGCAGCAACAGGGAGGTGGAATTGGGCAGACAATATCTGGAATCATAAGGATCGCTGTCTTCTGGTACTTCGCATCCAAATTCTTTGCCCCCAAAAGACCTGTCGATCCCTCTCAGCCTGTTGTCGTCATGTCTAATCTCTTCCAGAAAGGCGAACCAATGGTACTGAATTCGATATTTCTTTGTTTATGTATGCATATAGATGTTTGTTGGGTGTTTGCGTAAATGAATGTTTTCACATATTAATACCCTTTTGAATTTTACAATAATTCCTTTAAGCCTTTAAGGAAGTAGCTTTTGTGTAGTTTCTGGATATGGGTGCCCTTTACGCCTCACAGGCAGTCATCTATATGTAGTTCTATGTGATCATCTAAAACAGACTGTTTTTGTATGTGTTAACTTTTGTTTTTTTACTTTGGGTGTGAGATCTTTATTATCTATTTTTTGTGTTTTTCTTTGCAAAAATTGGGTATAAGACTATAAAGTTTGGTTTTAATTTGCTGCAGCTCCCTTGTGCAATTATGCTAAGCTTATCTTTTAGACAGTCTTTCTCAAACTAATTCTTGGGTTAGCATTGTTTAGATTGCTAGCAAGAAAATTTAGCCAACTCTATTGTACTAAATCCCAAATGAGTATCTGGATGTTGCAGAACTCAAGGGAGAAATTAAGTGTCTTGGTTTGCCGGAAAAAGATTCTTCCTAATTTGTTTTCATTTTAATTTTATGATTTGGCAGATGCTGAAAATACCTTTTCTTTTTCCAGTATTTTGGTTATCTGAGTGTTGGCAATGAAAGCAGCTTACTTGAGAGTTGGGACCAAAAAATGATTTTGGTGGCCAACCTATGTAGGCATTTGGAAATCAGTAAAATTAGGATATTTATGATTTTGTTTGACATGAGGAAATGATTTATGTGATAAAAACACCTTGTGAGATTTACATGACATAAAAGGTATCTTAGTTATGAGCAGTGGTGGAGTTTCCAGATTTTAGTCATTTTCTTGCTGTATTGTTGATGCTGCAAGTTTCTTTTTCCAAAGTTCCCTCATGTTGATCATATTGCACTATTCACCCTGAACTGAGTATTTTTGCAGGATATGTGGGTATATCTTTCTGAAAATGAGAAGTTTAATGACTTTGGTAACGATGGTTCTCTTGTTTGGCATGAAACTAACATTCCATATGCCACATGGGGACCAGAAAGTACCCGAACCCTTTCAATGGACTATTATCCATCTGAGGTATTTATCTAGCTCTCTGTGTTCTACTTTAAATTCAAAATGTTGTTGGGATTTCTTTGTGCTACCATGTTTTACTTGCTCTACATTCTATTCTCTTTCTTAAAAGTCAATTTTTCTATTCAATTTTTATTCAAGTTATGAAGATTATGTTCACTCTTTCAGAATTTGAAGCACAACGGGAGTCTCTATGCTCATGTCTTCTTTGCACAATCTGGTTACCCTCCAGATCCTAATGATCCTGAATACCAGCCTCAAGCTGCCTTTGGGAGGACACATGGTAGGATTCTCCAGTCTGTTATTATATTCTTTTCCATGAGTTATGAGTTTTGGTGTAAAGTCTGGAATTTGAAGGACCACCTTTGTTCATTGATTTCAGTTGTTGTGACATACTTGCCCAAGTCTAAAGCAGATAAAAAGAGGAGTCTGCTGGGAACTGCCAATGGTGCTGAAGAGGGTGAATTAGCAGCCCAGGTTTGTTTTTTCCTATAAGTTGTACCCACCACAGAAGGTGATTTTTTTGGTATTTATGATTGGCCAATACAATAGGGGATAGTCCTTCCCTTTCATAGCAGCCATTCCCACTCCCAAAGACTTAGACCTAAGAATTGCAACTCAAATTTGTAACTTATAAGGAAAACGTTTTCTTAAAACAGTGTTTATAGATCATATCTGGACTACATGTTTTATATTGTTATGAACTTTATCCAAAATTCCTAATCATAGTCTTCTTCTGAGTTTATGATGTATTTATATTCTTCTATTGGGTTCATTCATATGATGATCCTGATGTAGAACTTACGGTGGTTTATTAGGTAGTTGACGATGGTGAAGGTGAAGTTGACTCTAAAGATGATGGTCCTGTTGAGTGGATTTCTCATTGGAAACCAAATATTACCATTAATTTGGTTGAGGACTTTTCACGGTATGCCTATGCACAATGTTTTCTGGAAGGCTGCCACTATCAATTTGGTTATGATATTTATACTTTTTGCATGTTTTTGTGCTGTTTTGTTGGAAATAATCTGATTCTTGATATTTTTTGTAGCTATTCACAAAATGCAGTGCCACCAAATGTTGCTCCTTGTATCCTTAAATTCCTCACATTTGACAATCTGACTATTCATTGTGCATGTTTAATTTTATCTTTTATTAGCCAAAGTTTCCTTGAGAACTTTTATATACTTTTTATTGGCTGGCAGAATGTTTCTAGGTTTAAGAGCTGCTTTATTTTCCTAGTGTTGTGTCCAAATGATCAATTTTTAGTCTATTGATTTAGCAAACTAATAAAAGTTAATTTGGATTAGTTGTTTAAGTGCCTCAAAAGATTTGTGTTCTTTCATAGATCTGAATGTTTGTAAATGGATGATCGGTAAGTGTTGAATCTGGGCATTGTGTTTATTTTCTTGTCAGTACATTTGGTGTTTATTGTCTTGCCAGAACATTTGGTTTCATAATGTATAAAATACATACTATATCAAATAAATAAATTAACCAAAGAGGAAGGAATTCCTATACTATTTGCTTTGTGTTTCTTGACTTCAGATGTGCAGATATAAATATTGATTCTACTACAGGAAATTACTACCCTACCATCTTCTTTAATGAGTTTTGGTTACTTAGAGATAAGCTGATTGCGATTAATGAGACTGTGAATGAATTGCCACTTAATTTGGAGGTCAGTCCAATAAGCATGATGAAGTGGCAGCTATTTCAGCAGATTGATCAATCATTCCAAATCCATCGTAGTTATGGAAGCATGCTTGAAGGCGAGTCTGATGAACTTAAGGTATTACTTATGTTCCATTCTCATACAAATTTTAAACATCTTATAAGTTGAGAGAGGGAGAAGAATAAATAAACTAATCAACATGAAATTGGATGGAAAGGGTTTAGTGTATTTGTTTGAATTGATTAGGGTTTTTTTTTTTTTTTGGCCTAAGAATTGGTTTAGTTTGAATGGTCAAAAGTAACCGAATTAATTCTAATGATCTGCTGTAGAGAGTGTTCAATTGCTTTTTGGATTAATGGGACAATTAGGTGTTTATGGTTTAAAAGAGGAAGAAACCAATGTGAGCCTGAAGTAAATTAGGGAGCTGATAGCAGGCAGAAACATTGGGATAGAGAACTGAGGGAGAGTTTTTATGTCTTTTTTATCCTCATTTTTTAGCTGTTGCTCTAGTTAGTTGTTGCATTTGAAATCCATCTTGAAGTTTAGTTTTATTATATTTCCCCTGGATTTTCCACATACTGATATTGATATATATATATTTTTTTCTGCAGCGGGTGTTCTTGGAAGGAAACCCTTACTTGCTTGTGATTACAATGGTGGTTTCAATGCTTCATTCTGTCTTTGACTTCTTAGCATTCAAGAACGGTAAACATGTTTTTGCAGTATGGCTGTCATTTGAAATATATTTGGTAGTAGTTTTGAAAAAGGTGGTTTTATTATGTTATTTCTATCTGAATGCAGATATCCAATTTTGGAACAAAAATAAGTCTATGGAAGGATTGTCTGCAAAGTCTGTTGTTGTGAGCTTTGTATCTCAGCTCATCGTCTTCCTCTATCTTCTTGACAATGACACGTCGTGGATGATACTTGCAAGTTCTGGAATTGGTTGCTGTATTGAATTTTGGAAAATAGGAAAAGCCATGCACATTGAGGTATCTCATAACCGCTTTTCTGTTCAGATATTATCAGTTACTAAGTTGACTTAAGAATCTTTACCAACACTAGTACATACTTACACCCATCTTTGAGTTTGAGATGTTGAGCGAAATCAGCAGGTGCATGAGCAAGCATGTACTAAATTTTCAAACGAAAATATTAAGCTGTCCTATAATATTTTGGACATAATTTATTCTGAAAATGATTGTTAATTCATGGTCATAATCCTAATAATCTAGAATTTTTTTTTCTTACTATATTTCTATGATTAATATGAAACTCTATTCAAAGATTGTCAGATTGCATTGGTGTGTATTCACTATTTAGTGTACTTGGTTGATGCACCATATTCTTTGATACTTGCTTTACAAACCTGTTTATGGGATCATTATGCTGCATAACTCTTAAGTATAGAAGTTTATCAAATGTACATGCATGTCATGTGTATTAGTCATACTCTTCCTGGCACTTGACACCTTCATTTTTTCTGGCTCTTGATGGCATTGTGCCTATTCTATATCTAGTCATGTAATGTGTTAATTGTAGGCATGCTGTGGAAGTATTGAATTTATTGTTGTTTCATTATCCACAGATTGATAGAAGTGGAAAGATACCAAGGTTGAAGTTCCGAGATCGTGAATCATATGCAGGGAATAAGACTAAGGAATATGATGATATTGCAATGAAGTATTTGTCCTATGTGCTCTTCTTCCTTGTGGCATGCTTTTCTATTTATTCTCTCATGTATGAGCGCCATAAGAGCTGGTATTCATGGATTCTCTCTTCAATGACAAGCTGTGTTTACATGTTTGGTAAGCATCTATTCCTGCAATGTGCTCTCATTCCCCTTATTTATTTATTTTTATAATAGTTTTATTGCTCATCACTTTATAGGTTCTTTTAGGATTCTTTGATTGTCAGTCTTTGTTTTTATTCTTGAATCTAACAAGCCTCTTCACGTCTAGTGGCACCCATATCTCTTTATTCTAGGACCATTCTTTTGGTCCATGGTGTCCTTTTCTTAGTGTCTTGATTTTTTATTTTATGTGAGGAAAAATAATAATCTTTTTTTTTTTTGGCAGGCTTCATAATGATGTGCCCTCAACTGTTCATAAACTACAAGCTCAAGTCTGTGGCTCATTTGCCCTGGAGGCAGATGACATACAAGTTCCTAAACACCATCATTGATGATCTTTTCGCCTTTGTCATAAAAATGCCAACACTTCATCGGCTTTCTGTCTTCCGTGATGGTGAGAGTTATTTTCATTCGTTTCATTTATCCTCTACCTCTAACGTGGGAATTCAGAACTAAGAAGAGAGCAAAAACTGTATTATAATCTGTTAAAAATCATTTTGTTCAACAGGTTCCATTTGTCAGCACATCATGTTTTCCCTTTTCTCACTCGACTTCCACCTGTTTTGCAGATCTTATATTTTTGATATATCTCTACCAGCGGTGGGTTTATCCAGTGGACAAGAAACGTGTAAATGAATTTGGGTTTGGTGGTGAAGATGATCAGGCATCTGGTGGTACAGTTGCCACTGTTACAGATGAAGCTGAGAAGAAAACCAACTAAGATGTATTTCGTAGGTACTTTTGGACTCTGTAACGGCAGATTACTGTAGAATGAAGTGTGATAGTTATGATTATTATTATTATTTTTTTACAAAATTAAAATTAGAATTGGTTTTGGGCCTTTTGTCTTTGTGACAACCTGGTTTTTGAGATTGGAACATGGAACCCTCATTCCAGATTCACTAACTAAACTTCTCTTAGATTCATTAACCATTTTCCTCAAATAAGTTTTCCCCCAATTCAAGCAAGTGTTTTGATCTTCCTTCCCAGACATCATATTTTGGCAAATGTTTTTACCCTATATAAGTATACATTTTCTCTATGACCCTTGTCACTGAACCAGCCTCGGTAAATGAACCCTAGCTCGCATCATGTAATTTGTGAAGTGATAACAGAACAAAATATGAATTAGGGAAATGCGTATCTTCTTCTATTGTGCTAAATCAGAATAGCTCCCTCTTTACCGATTTCAGGTGACCGACGAAAGGGCAACAAGTATGTTAAAATCACCCAGTCAGTACATTTGGGAGTCATTTTTGTTAATCCTTTAGTAATAAGGTTTTCATTCAACTCAAGCCAGAAAATGGTGAAATGCAAATGCAAGACATCAAATATAACAGGATATAAAAGTCTCGTCTTTTATTGCTTGGCAAAGTTGGTGTTTGCAGGAGTCACAGAGTTAGCATCAGATCAGATACAGAAGTCTGGTAACGGCTACGGAAAAACTAAAGATATGCCCATCCTCTGGTATATTTTCTGTGTAATTCAGGCGGAGAAAGCCATTTATCTCCAAAAGCTTCTGTAAACTAAGATTATAAGTCTGCTGAATTTTCTAGATGGATTAGTGTTTCCCTACCATATTACCATTAGAATCTATGCAGTGGTCAGCCGCGAGCCATTCGATTTTGGCATGTACTTCTCCATCAGCTGATTTAATCCATCATCAAACTCCTTTTCCAGTGCAACCTCTTCTTCCAGGTGCCTCTTCCTCATCTCAGCCATCTTGCCTTCATGCATCTTAATCAGTTCATCCCTCTCAGACACAAAGGCTTCCATTTCTTCATCTTGAAACTTTATGAACTTTTCAATTTCTTGTGCCCTACAAACAGATTCGGATAGTCTCTAAGAAAGAAACCAAATAACAAACACAATACCAACTAGTCCAATTTCTGAAGGGAATTGCATGTTTGATCCTACTGTCCGTAAAACTATTGAGAAGTCTTATTAAATCATATACCTGCGCATGTATTCCTCAGTATTTGAAGGATTAGGGTTCAACTGCTTGACCTTCTCACGCTCTAGCTGCTGCAGCTTCTCAAATTCTTCCTCCCTAGCATCTCTTGCCTCGTGCATGTATTTGATTTGTTCTTTGAAAAATTGCTCTTGCATATCCATCTGCAGAGAATATTTGCACAAACCAGTCAAAATGGGTTAAGGGCAGAAAGAAGTGAAGCATTCTGTCAATCCATGCATTTCCTCTCCAAACCACTTGAAAAGACCAACCTGGATGAAATTGTTCTAGAACCCACTACAACTTTATGACCATATATAAACAAAAATGATGCAAACACTTATCACATCCCTATTGATACGATGCCTCTAGTGATACATAGGGCATTTAAGAAGTACCTCCCCTGAAAATAGACTACTAACCAACCCAAACCTATAGCACAAAAGGAAAACGCTCTTAATCTCAATATATCAAAGCATACTCACAATCAATCAACATTATAGATCAATGGTGACCAAAGGTCCAAAGGGAATGGAAAGAAAATAGCAAGTTGGTATAAGAAACATTTCACAAGGCATCAACAGACCTGAGACCTCAAGGGATTAATGGGAAAAAACAAGCAAGTAAATCAGTAATATCATCCAAGGAAACATACATTAACAATAAATGGGAATAAAGGAATGAATCTATCAAACAGAAACAAAAAAGAACTGAAATATGGAGCCATGCGTCTGAATACTGGAAAAAAAAGAAAAAAAAGCAAAAATGAAATAACAAAAATATCAATCCAGTTTAAATTGTAAAGGTGCCCAGAGTCTACATGAAATATACAAAACTCACAGTATATCATAAAAGATGACAAGAACATCAAAAATTAAGACCAAGCACAATAAACCTTAAAGATGCAGAATTTTGTGAAACAGTAAATTGCATATGTTTTCTTTATTTTTTTCATTTGTTTGTGTTAACTTAGCTCAAATTTAAAAGAGGACATGTTGGAAATTTCTGAGTAGAGCACTCAAGGTGTTACTTTGGGACAGTATGACAATATTTGTGCAACAGTATCGTGGACATGTAGAAGTGTCTAAACAAGTGTGTTGAGTCAACCAATATCATAAACTAGTAACCAATTTAAACCATTACCTCTTCTTTGTTCTCTTCATGCTGCATTTTGGTCCTTTGTTTGACAATACGGTTCTCCTCCATAGTCTTTCTAAGCTTCTCACTCACTAATCCCAAAGAGTCTTCTAAAGCAACTTTAGCCCTTTGCTCTCTAGCTACCTTGTTCTTATACCAAATTAGCTGCTGGTTATCCTCAGCCATTTGCCGCATTTGCTTAACAACCATCTCTTGGTAGGATCTCATTTCAAATTTCAGCCTAGATTTGCCTAATCAATCACAGGATAGGTTAAACTAGGCAGCATAATGTATCAGCAGCAGAATTCAAGGATTCTACTAACTTTGAGAAAGAAAGATATTTTGCATGTCTTGTTATCTTGCAACTTAAGGAGTTGATTATAAAAAATTCAGTAATAAGTGAAGTTGCACATCAACTTAAAGCTTCTCCATTTATTTTTCCTTTTTTGCTTTCAATGTTTTGCATTAGGAGAGGGGAGGTGTTTGCTTCGTGAAGAGAAATATCAAACCTTGTGAATGCTGGTTGAAGAAATTCAGGTCTTCCTTTGTAGCCATGAAACCATAAAGCTGGCGCTTTCCACCAGGAAGGAATAAGACAGGATGATTGCGATTCCAGGCCTCCCTATGTGTACCTTGCTCAGCAAAGTGCTTATGCAGACGCTCCGCTTCATAATAACCCCTTGCCGAGTTCTCAAATATCAGAACACTCATACCACGATGCCCCTGTGGACCATATGAGTGACGAGCCTTTGCAGCAGCATATGCACTGAAGTACTCAAGAAGCTCCTGGTTTCCCATCCCAACCCACTGGTGTCCGGTTCAATTCAACATGATTAGATTAAATTTCAAGAGAATGTCATTTGCAGCATAAAAATTTAACATAGTTTCCATTTCTGGAGCATTAAAAGTAAAGATAAAAGTGTAATCCACATAGAATATAATCACTCTGTGTAGCAAACAATACCTTATCATTATCATCCTTGTCAAGCCTTGTGTTCATTATGACAACCATGGGGGGCCAGACTATTTCAAAATCTCTTTCCTCATCTTTTAGGCCCTTCCATTTCCCAAAAGCTTCACCTGCTGGAACAACTGAGGCACCCCTTCTGCGCAATTCCTCATCAAGAAGTTCTGCTAGTTCACGGTGAAGCTTCACCCTTTTTGATCCTTTTGTTTTGGCATGTGTCATCAGAGGTTGAAGACCCCGATACCAATCAATGGCACCTGGACCACCTTGGCATGCTGGACAATGCCACTGCCTTTCTGTTTCATTAATCTGCTCAACACTCAGACTATCCAGATCATTAAAAAATTTTGTAAACCATTTGTTCTTCTTTCTGGTCCCATGGCTCTTTTGGCTAGCATCTGAATCAAATTCATCACTCAGAAACCCATCATCAGAATCATCTATGGCATCAGCATCAGAATCATCATCCACCTCATCAACATCATCTTCCTTTTGGTCATCAAAATGCACCCTATCTTTTCCTTGACCATCTTCTAGACCCTTTGATGGAGCAGAACCAGCTCTAGATTGCCAGTTCCATCCCTGCTCCAGGGGAGGTGGAATGACAGAATGTGGGGCCAGATAATTCTCAAAAGTCCTGTTGGATATCTGAGGTCTTGCATTCCCTCTACCACTAGCCATCTTAGAATCAGTGATCTGTGTCCCCCAGGCATTGCCAGAGGCTCTTCCTGAACCATTGTGGCTCCTCACGCCTCCCCATGGCTTAGGATTTGAATTGTGAGAACCCCAAGGTTTTGCAGCACTGCTTCCAGCTCTGTTCTTAGACTTCCTTGAAATAACCTCCCATCCATCACCATCTTGCGAAGAATCCAAACTAGTGTCTGCTACATGCTGACTCAACTGCTCAACTTTGGGGATGGAGACATCAGAGATGTTTTTCCCCTTGGAAGACTGACCATTGTCACGACCAACAGCAAAAGGCTTGCCACGCCCTCCTCTCAAACTCATCCTTTTTATAGTACCCTACTATCCACTGCTTGATAAATCATAGATTGGTTAGAAGCAGAATTGCAATCCACCAAGAATGCAAGAGTCATCTTAAACCATTAATTAAAAACCATCAAATGACACTCATTAAAACCAAATCAAACCAAAAGGTTTAGTTTTCCCAAATCTAAGAGAGAACAATGAGAATTTTATTGTTTCCCCTTAGCAAGTTTGAGAAAAAGATCAATAAAAAGACAAATGCATTATCACATGTTCAAAGAAAGTGTTCCATCACAAACGCAACAAGATAAAATAAAGGATTCTAGTTTTCCAGGTCTAACTGAAACCACTGAGAAAACGAACAAAATAATTTTGTAGTTTTTCAATTTTCCAGATCTATAAATGCAACAATAAAACAAAAAGCACCCTGCCTTAGTCGTTTTCCCTTTTTTTCTCCACCACTAACACCTATACCATAAAAGCAACAAAATTTTCAGAAACAAATTTACAACATACATAAGCAATGGTCTATCGCACTGAAAAGATTAGACAACAGAGAGATAAAAGAGAAAACGCGCAAGAAAAGAGAGAATTGACAGATCAAACACTCAACACAGAAATCAAATCCATTCCAGAAAAAGGAAAAAAACGCCGATAGAAAAGATTATACGAGAAAATGGCTCTAATGAGTCTAATCTCTTCTCCAGTGCGCAAAAATTAACACATACACTTGCGGAAACTGAAATGCCTACATCCAAACAGTCTCGCATGCAGAAAATACTCGATACAATCCATTTCGTTCCTACTCTACCTTATCTCCATGATTTACTCTAAAGCAAGAGAGAAATGAACAGAAAATGCGTGGGAAGCGAATGCAAGAAAGCGAGCATCGGAACCAATCGCTACCTGGAACCGACGGAGGAGCACCGGAAACGACCAAGCCAATAGTGTGTAAGCCAGCGAATGCGAAGAACGCGGCGACGGTGTCTTGGTATGCCAAATAGCAGGAGCGGAGGTGTAGAGTTAATGGGAGTCGGTTGGGTAAAGATGCAGCGACTGACGCAGACTTGGGTTTGTCTTTATACAGGGCCCGTAGATTCCGGACTCCAAATTATAATTAATTTTGCCGGATATTTTTATCCTGAGAATTTTCTTTGACCTGATTGCAATGTAATAAAACAGGAGATTAAAAAAAACTTTTTCTAATATGTGTGTTAATGTGTAATTATTATTTATTTTTAATATTAATTAGTATTAAAAATATAAAAATTATTATTAATATCACTATTAACATTATGTAAGATTATTTTAATTCAATAATTATTTATATAAAAATTTATTTTTATTTTTTGAATATTAATTAAGATAAAAATGTGCAATGGTTGCATCCGGCGCAAGTTG